TGTTTTTGTAATTTTCTGGATTACAAAAATACATCTTGTATTGATAAAAGATGCGAAACTGCGGTGGCGTCAACACATGCAGCAATACAGTAGGTTAGTTTGTAAACTTTATATTTCAGATTAAAACCTGTGTATGTTTACAGTATATACAGTATATTCTGGACAATATAAAACTAAAAGCAATTACGCTTTGTTAGATACAGATTTCAGATACTCCGCTTACAGTGCGTATCTTGTTTTATCCAGGTTGTCTTTTAATTTAGTTACAACGTTTCTTAAAATTCGAAATTACTTTTGTTAGATTGAGATTGTGAGCAATGATTTAAGATACTGAAAATAAAAAATTCTGTTCTTATTTTTATTCTGTTTCTTATTTTTATGACACTCCGGATTGATCTGCCTTTTGTAATTAGTCCGGCCCTGCTCGGATTCAACTGCAACTGCCCACTTCAACAGCGCCAGGCAAGGTGCATTATGGCAAAGCGAACCTGCGGCCGCGGGACAACCAACTGCTATCCGGGGGCCAGTTAGGCAGCCTACACCTTCTGTAACAGGATTTAGATTTATTCGGTGATGCAAGTCTAGCGTAATGTAGCTGCTGAGCACAGTGTGTTACAAAAATAAAATATAGCTACTTTTAACACACCTTCTTAGTAGAACACTTCGGAATGTCAAATAAACCACTTACTTTATTTAGATCAATTAAAATTAATTTTGGAAAGCGTAATTTAGCAAATTGTATTAGATTCACTAATTAAAAAACTTAAATCTGTAGAGTATAGCACTAAAAATATAATTTATAATATTTTATGAGGCCCTGTATATTTTAATGCATTAAATGAAAGATAGTTGAGTAATGCCGCAAGCAAGGAATGTCATCTGGTAAAGTTGCCAAATTCTCAGCATATTGCTGAAGAGTACTTAACCTCCATAGGAATCCAGACAATTCAGTTGCATGTCTGCCAAATGTGCAGCACAGACTATTTCCTTAATGAGTCTTAATTCCTAAACACCACTTCTATCAACGTAGCATAATGATCAATTTCTTTAATAAGTGGAGGCTAAGATAACTACTTTTGAGGGTACTGATAGCTTTTGTTTATATAAATCTTTATCTGTTTGATCCAATGTGGTGCACATCAATTTAAGTAAAGACAGAATACAAGATTGTTTTCAAATAAGAAGAGATCATTCGTCCAGTCTAGCTTGTTTGGTACTTAGTAGCTAATTGAAGCAGGGGTCTCATCCAGCTGTATTTTGAAAGAATGCAATTCATCAACTTCAGCACAGTGATTGTGTAGCTCATTTGGTAGTAGCTAACCGATCCTGGATCTCATCTAGCCATTTCGTGAAGAATGTCAGGTTGTCAGCTTGAACATCACGGCAGGGTAGCTTGTTCCAGACCCCCAGGGAATCTATTAGTCTGTCTAGATGTGTCCTGCTCATATCTGTGACCTGCCTGGCGTTCCAGCAGACCCCCATCCTCCACCTTGTGGTTGTGAGCCCACACGACAGCGCTCACCATTTTGGGCTGAGCCAGGCCGGGTTATGCAGGTGGTCAGGTGTGCCTAATCCAGGCAGGATTCTCTCAGGTTTTAGTTGAACCATCATGGGAGTCTAGTTGGGATCATTCTTTGTCTGGCCCCTCACTTTGGACCAATTTGCCAAGGGTAATCCTACCAGAAGCACAAACACAACATAGCTCTAAGGCTGAGGGTTGTACATTATGTCAAATCCAAAACCCAAAAAGTCATTCTAATAATATGTATGTATAACCATGTTCTTAAAAATGATCTGTGAGAAAAAAAAACATTGTTTCACTCTGTTTTCTGCTTTAAAACTTGAATTGTCAGCGCATACTAGATTATCTTTTTTCAAATCCCAAGAGCTGCTTTCGAAGATGTGTCACCAAATATCACAGGACTTTGAAACAAAGAAAAGCTTTGCAGAAAAAATCCAGCGAAGACAAGGAAAATAAAGTTTTTTTTTCTAAAGTAGTTCACCTTTTAAATTCAAATACATTTTTAGAAGGTTTTTAATATGAGCAGAGCTGGCATGCTGTTTTTTAACCATTATTTCAAAAGAGTATTATCTTCTGAATGGATATTGCTATGGAGCTGTCATCACCAATGTATTTTTTTACCTTGAAACAAGATAGACATATACCTACAGCAAAAAACAGGAATCTCATAACCTACACTAAATAATAAGACATAACATCCATTCCCTGAAAATAGACCACTGATTTAGACTGTATGCAAATTATCTTTTAATTCTAATACTTTTACCAATGTTAATATTATAAATCCACACAACTTAAAAGTATTTTATATGAACCTAATTTTGTAGCATTTATCCTTATATTCAAAATGTTTTCAGGTATTTACAATGGAAAATAAGGACTATGTCCCTTCTAATATTAGAAATCAATAGTACTTTCTATATAATCAATATGGAACCTAGATCAAACTATCCAGCCATTTTGTTGAAGCTGATATTCTCTGGCTTTATTTAAGAAATGATTGGAGCAATCAGCCACTGGCAGCCAAATGAGCTACAGTAATAAGAAAACGTTTGTGAAACCTTTGGTGCAGAGTTTGAGCTAGCCAATCCAAAATGCAGAGTTTCATTTTCAGCCATTCTTTTGTAGATCTGCTTGTATACAGTATGTAGGATCATTGTGTTGCTGCAGGATCTACTTTCAGCTCAGCTTCAGCTAATGAATGGAAAGTCTAACATTCTCCTCCAGAACTTGTTAATACACTGTTGCAATTATGGTTCCATCAATTTCTTAGAGCTGCCTCAGATGTGTCTTTGTGACTACCTGAATTATTTTCTGGGTTACTCTTGAGGAGATCTTCGCTGGAGGTCCTGGGTTGAGTCACCATGGTTTTGAATATTTTCCATTTGTAGACTGTCTCTGTATCTGTCTGACAGTGGATGGGTAAAGGCTAGATTTTTAGAAATTATATTGTAATCCTCTCTAGACTGATGAGCATCAACTACTCTGTTCACTAATCTGCACAAACCCACAAAGTATTGACTTGCTATTTAACACACACTGATTCTTAATTATTCTTTTTTCTACTTCATACACCATTGTGTCTCAAAAACATTGAATTGGTAAATATAAACCATTTTGGTCCTTTAAGAAAAGACTGGTTTTAACTTAACAAGTGTATTATGGTAAGAAATTGTATTTCCAATAATTGTCTTGGGGGTTCACAAATGGCCTTTTCTCATTTGCAGTCTTTATAATTTTATATTATCATTTAAATTTTTAATAAACAAAGATTTCATATGACAGAATTACAAAATAGCAAATTATCTCAGATGGTGTGGGTTTGAATTCTTCTTTTATGAGACTGCAAGATTTTACATAGACTTGCATTCTTGAAAATGACATTGAATTATTATATTAGTCCAGTCAACAAAAAAGTATAACAATTCACTTACAAATGTTTTAGACCACACACAAATTTGTCAATGCATTCTATATACATTTTTCTTTGTCTTTTGAACAACAGATGACTGGTGAAGTAAAATAATTTATTTAGTTTTCTATGTTATTTATTATTGCTGAGAATGTGTAACACCACCCCAAGACTTAAAATAAAAATTCCGCAGAAATCCAGTATGTTGAGTAAGTTAAAACAGACATTGATCCTTAATAATTACATATTTTCTAAAAAGAACACTCAACTGAACTTTTAGGCAGACCTGGCAGACAAAACTTTAAAATGTTGTATCATTTTGTTCAAATCATTTTGTTCAAATGATTGACATCTGCATTGACCCCTGTGCTTTGTGCTAAATGGTTAGATCATTGCAATGATAACTTCAAGACACTGTCTTGTAAATAGTTATTAATATTAGTTCTTGTGTGTGACTATTAACATTCTACGTGTGCTATCTCTTTTTGTTAACAATTAGATCTATGTTTTTTTACTTAAAGATGAAGAAAAAATAAAACTATTCTTTTTGATCAATGATGCCATCACGATCCACATCAGACACAATTGGCATTAGTAGTCTAAGGATCTGAATGGAATAGACAGGTGCTAATCCATATTCACAGGAGCAAAGCCCTAACGATTTTTAATAAAGAAAATACATACTGTACTTGCATGCTCCCATTCAGGCACACGAAAGGTTCTGGTCTTAACTGTTTTCATTGTGCAAAATCTCACTGCAGATATTCTCACTGTTTTTTCTAATAATACTATATTATTTACTTTTGCTTTCTTTTATTGGTCCTTTCCCATGTAAATGAGGCCAGCTTTGTGTGAGTAGCTTCCGTGTGTTACAGATGGTAACAGTGAGTGTGCAAAAACTGTAAAAGTAATATTAAATAAATATTTTTCACACGGTTTGTACCATATTAACAATAAAAATAGATCTGGGTGTTTTGTGTTATTCCACTCAATTATTCTCAATATTTGTAGAAATGTTCTAAATTAAGGTACTGTATTGATGACCAAAACATACAAGTTACAGAATAATTTATATACAATAAGCATATTTTCGGAAAGAGGCCCGGATACCAAGCTGTAATTCAAATTTAACGTCACCATCTCTGCTCTGCATATGTATATTAATTTACAAAACGAATATATAACTAAAAATGACCATAGTGGCTGCTAAAATTCTTAATCACCCCATTGAAAGATGATAATAACCCAAGAGTCATGACTGTAAACAGTGCCCTGAGTTTCCCCACGGTGACCACTCGCGTGTTAGAAAGGAGGTGATGTTTACCTTGAGAAGAGATAAAAAACGTGTTTGTGCTTTGGGATAAGATAAGAAACCAAAATTTGTGGGTTTTGTTTTTAAGCGTTCCCATCAAATAAGTCACAAAATAGCTGACAAAGAATCGTACTGGCAAGTTATTTTCGTTTTTAGCTGAACACTTTAGAAAGAGTCACTCTGTGACCCAATTATTTTCTTCTCCTGATAAAGCCCTATATTCTGTTTTGCACTGAAGGCGTGGTTTTGTGCCGCTGACGTCCAACTCAAATTCTTTCATTGAAATTCAACTGAGTACCTCGGCAGAAAATACTGTCAGGGAAACATACGACGGTTAACCAACGGTTTTATTAAATGAAGCCTTTAAATTAAATTAAGTCACAGTGGTTTCAGTTAGGCTGCTTTTGTTTTACGCTGTGCACTCGCTATTGAATGGATGAAGACTAGATGAATTTGTCCGCAAGGTCAAATGCACCTTTATAAATCCCGAGTCTTGGTATTCGAAGGTTCAGCAAGGTGGGTTGTATTTTGTGCTGCAGTTACTAGCATTAATAGTTGTTATTGTTCGTGTTGTTTTAATAGGTATATTCAAAGTTCTTGCAGTTCGTCTGTACTGTAAAACGTTTATGATCAATTAGAATGACTGCAGCTGTGTGAGATGCTTTATGTAGAATGGGACGTGACGATGGCCAAAATAATTATATACTGTTTATAAATGTAACATATTGTATTATGAAAAAATGGCAGTCCTTCAACAGTGACACAGGTAGAGTGATTGCCTTTACGCTTGTTTAGCCCTTCAGTTCACATTGGTCATTGTTTAGCAGTAAGGTGAGGTGAGATGGGTTCCTTTCCTTGATCTGTTTTTTCTGGAAACACTTAACTGTTCGCTGTGAACTGACCTGAAGGACTACCTTGCATATAATTAGGAAATGACTATTTTTAAAAAAAGAAAAATCACTTCTTTGCTTTTTTTGTTTGTTAACAGGTCGAAAATATTGTTTTCACCTTTAGAAATTAACCAGGACTGCGCTTAATCAACAAAAAGATAATTGGTTAATGTTTTATGATTTAATAGATATAAGAGATTAAACTCTTTTAACATATATTTGTGCACCCGGATTCTTACATTTTAAATTAACGTTTTGAAAAAAAAATAGAAGTAACTAATTAGATTTAAAGAATATATGGTTATTTCTTTGATAAAATTGTAGCATACAGTAGATAACAGATGGAATTACTAGCAGTTTGGGCTGCTGTTCTCATTACTGACATCCTGGATATACAGTAGGACCGCCACTGTTCATTGACAGACCATTTGCCAATGTCATTTATACATGATCAGAATGATGTAAAGACTTATCAGGATCTCTTGCACAGCTTTTCCCAGATATGACAGCACATTATTCATAAAAACTCAGTACTACAGTTTCATGAATAATATTAATTGTCTGAAGTTTTTGCTTCCTGAGCAGAGTATGTACAGTATTCAGGAGAAAGAACTTGAAAGATGTTAAAGATGTTTGTTAATAATTTATTATCAAGAATGCTGAATTAAAAATATTCCTTAATTCAATATATTGTAAAATGTAACATTGATAATCCCAGGAAAACTAAAAAAACATTACATGTAAAGTACAGTTAAAGGAAGATAAAAAGTGTTAAATCGACATAAATCATCTCTCTTAATTCGATACAATACTGTATGAAAATATAGAAGTTCACTACGTTTGGGGCTGGTTGTCTCTACATCTACTGTATCTTCGACTTAAAGAAATGTCTTTTAAAGCTGATTGAAACAATGTTGTTGATGGCATACACATTCCTTAGTTTGTTTTCTAGTCAAATTGATGTGTTGGGGTGGGAAAAGATGCCAAACCAGGTTTTGCAGACAATTAAAGTACTTTTGCACATGTTCATTACTTTGTCTTGATTTAGTGAGTAATTAGGGTAATGATCTACTGCTATCAAAAGACAAAAATAGTAACTGCTTTGTGAGTTGTCAGATTTTGAGAAATATATTGGTTACTTGGTGAATTAGCAGCAGCAAGTCTTAATTTTTCTTGATATTTACAGTACATGAAAGGTCTCTGTATATCTGAAATTTGCTATTTTATTTCATTATTTTACTGTATACGGCTGCTTTGAATTCACTAAATGTTTAGGCAATATGGCTTCCTTTTATACACACCAAATACAATGGGTAGAAATATGTGAATGGCCTACGCATTCATATTTCTTTCATTTCAAATGAATGCTAATCTCTCATGTGTAGAGAAAAACCGTGACTGTAACAGATGCCCTTGTGAAACAGGTGTTATAAGGAAAGCTATGAGTGCTGGTAATAAAAACTCACACTCTTAAACTCATTATTATTATATTATAATTTAACTCCTGTGTTATGAGTACTGTGTTAGGAGCACTCCTATTGAGTATTGTTTCTGTTTATGATTTACTTTATAAAAGAGGAAGTGAAGTAAAAAGTAATTGTTACTTTCCCTTTTCATTATTTTGTTAGAAAAAGCTAGGTTTATGTCTTAGATCTGACGTGTAATGTTTTTTTTTTGTTTTAATCATACCTTAATCTCAAATAGGGTGCCTTTTTCATCTTAAAATAATATAGGGTGCCTTTTTCATCTTAAAATAATTAATCAAAGGCTTTTCGCATTATTCCAAATTAGCCTTAAATTGCCCACGTTGCATTTGTCTTAGTTTAAAAAAACAACAGGAAAGACAGCGAAATATGATAATGGTAAGAAATTATCAGCAATCTAAACTTGCATTTTTTCTTAGTAAAAAAATCCCCAAAATCTAAATTCTTATGGCAAAGCACTTAGAAAAATCTGTAATAATTCTAGTATAAAAACTGTAAAACTGACCTACGAAAAGCAAAATATAAACTGTTAGGATAGAAAATTAAGATGTATAAGAATTTAAATAATAAGTTGTGACATCTTGTGGTTAGGGCACATCTTTGCTCTTTGATAGTGTAACGTGTCCGTCACAGTAATGACTCCCACATTTCTTTAAGTCCTCTGGGCATGGAGTATGATGTTATACAGTAGTTATTTCTGATGTCTTCTGAAGTGTAGCTCCAAAATGATTTACCTTGTTATGTTTTGTTATGTCAAGTAGCCATGACTTTACTCAGAAACTTTACTATTAGACTAGTTCAGAATTGGTCTGGGAAACTACTGTGGCATTTTATTTTCGAAAACATCTTTTGACATGGGAGAAAATGTGTTTCCTAAGAGAAACACATCAATTGAGATTGAGATCTGAGATTGAGAACGCAATCTGCCAAACCTATTCAGATCTTTAGAACTATTCCTGTGTCTGTTTTACATTTGGATTATACTGTATCAGCTTGTTTTTAACCTAAGATAATTTATTACTCTTGCAAACATTAAGTTACTTATTTTAGTGCTCACTTATATCACTTGCATGAAATGTCTCCCTGCACATTCTATGAATATCTTTTTGTGTGTTCCATAAAAATACAGTTTTTAAATATTATGTACTATAAATTAATTTCTATTCGCTCAGTTGTTGGTTGATTTACGATAAACGGCAAGCTTTATACAAGGGTTTTCTTCATTAGCAATAACTAAAAAAATTGACAATCCCTTTTGTTTCTACTTTTACATTTTTTTTTCAGTTATGAAAGCACATTTCCATAGACTCACATTTATGCCACATTTTGCAGATGTATATATTGTTCAGGTTCTCATTTTGGATGGTAGAGTTTGATAAGCGCCAGATTATTATTTATGTGCTTTGGTAATGCCCTCATCCAGGGCGACTTAAAATATAGAAAATTTACATTTGTGTTAAGTTCAAAGAACAATTTAGGCACAGTAACGTAAAATATAAAATAGGCTAGTACGAATGAGAAGAGCAAGTGTAAGTGCTATACTACCTAAATGCAAATATAAGAACTATAATATAGGTAGTGGATACAAAACATTAGTGTCAGTATCCTGTAGATATGCATTCTGTGTTCACAGAAAGTAAAGGCAGTAAGAAAGTTACTTTGCCAGTTTGAGAATTTAAAAAATAAGTGAAATTCAGAGTAAGAGTTATCGAAGGATGCAGCTGAGAGATCACTGGAAGGTTTTACTGGTACTGAGCCGTTCTGATTTCTGTGAACCGTTTATTTCTCTGCGGAGGGTGAACAGTCTGTGGAAGGCGAGAACAGAGACAGGGAAGAGGGAGGCGTGGAGAGTGTGAGGAAGGGTGTCGAGGAGATAGATAACAGACTGAAAAACAGGCAGGAGCAGAGAGGCTGAAGGTGCGGCAGATGTGAACGATGGAAGACGAAGGAGAAAAAAGAAGAAATCCACAGAGGAGGAAGAAAAGACAGGCAAAATTGGCAGTCAGAGTTCAAGAGGTTGAGTTGTAGTATGTGTAGAATGTGTTATGTGTATTTTCTAATACATTTTGTTGCTCCAGATATTTTGGATATTTCTGTATGTGACAAATAGTGTTAGAAGGTGTTATGTTTCATTAATGGTTTAATTTCACAGCATCTCCAGTTTCTTGACCAACGCTATCATTAAAACACATTAGTTTTGTATGTGGTAATAATAAAAGAATACAATAGTCTTTTACCTTAAAAAAAGTCAAGCCTTTGCACTACAAAGACCCTGTTTCATAATTGCACAATTTTCAAGATTTCCTATCAGCAATGATCTAGAACTCTATGTACTTCATGGGGGTTTGCCATTAATCCCGGAACAGGTTGCTATCAATGAGCACGTGTTCAGTTAGATCTCTAACAATGATGATTGGCCTTTAAGGTAGCCAAGACCTAAGGTTAATGTCATGATATTTCTAGACTTGTAAGATGAGTTGCATTTTGTACTATCCTACTGATTAAATATATACAGTATATATTATCTTAGTATGTCTTGTGAGTTCACAGGCAGTGACAGGCAGTGTTTTTTATCTCAAAGTTGTAAATTTTGTCTCTAATATGTCTATATCACAATACTCCTTCTTCGATACTGAACTGAAGACTTTGTAGATCTTCTTTAGGTCCACCATTGCTTGGTGAAGTGTATAAGACCGGAGAACTAAGAGCTGGTTTCGCCAGAGGAATGTGTGTTAACGGTGATCAAAGGCCACAACAATGGCCTCTGATCATACCCTTTTTAAAGGCTTTTTTTATTACCGTTTTCCTAAATGTTGCTTTTCTGTCTTCATTAACTCTTTGTCAAGTCAGGGAACAAGACACTATGTTGTTGTGTAGCCAGGTGAAGAATGAGAATGCGGGTGTGGCTGGAAAATCTCATTCTCTCATTGTGTCAGTGTAGAAAATCGTCCTAGAAAATAACAATGGTGGCAGTTTTGACTGCAGCAGTATAAGGAAAGTAGGGATGTTTAGCTATCTGTTTCTGTCTCTGGCTGTTCTCAGAACACACTTACTGTATAGCACACAATGGACTTACAGTACATCCAGTAAAATACCTTGCGTGTATAGAGCCCTCCAGATGTATTCATTCCCCTGGTTAAAT